ATGGAATTCCTGTCATCTTTTTCAAACTGGAAAAGTGACTCATCTTCTGAAGTGCTCTTTAGTTTGCATCTATTTAATGGCTGATAAGCATGATTTGGGAATGCTCCAAAAATATGATTAGCTATCAATATTCGAAATTCGGTACCTTCCTCTAAAACGGTCTGTTTCACAACTCTTAGCAACAGAGGAGGGGATAAATAAGTTCTCAGTAATTTTGCTTCAGCTACTGGTCAACGTACAATGTTTTTGCATGCACTCATGTTCCCTTCAGATACTTGTCTCGTGAAAGTAAAGCAACCATAAACCTCATTCGAAAATTTAACAACATCTATGAAAATTTCGAAAAGGTCGATGAAGTCTGACCTGTTTGAAAAAGAGAAAAAGCACATTACATGAGATGTTTCCGTTTTCTCACTAAGAGATCTGTACTTTTTCTCAGCAATAATCATTCGTTTAACTTTTTACTAAGCTGTCCTTCGTTTCTTAATTAGAAGTGTATGAGAAGTTGTGAAAGCGTAAGAATTATTCACTTAGAGCGGGAATATTCTGCATTGCCTCATATTTTGGCACTTAGTGCCTGCAGCACCGGGATAAGTCACTCAAAAGGGCCCTGTTTGCCTGAAACATGTGAATCAAATCAGTCTGGGCTTATATCAGTTCTGAAAATGATCTGTGCAAAATTTAAATTCCAACTTCGAAAAATAGCTTGATATATTTCATCCGCAGGAGGAAATACGTTAAGCTATTTTTCTAAGGCTAACACTACTTGGGTTACCTAAAAAGGTATAAAGCTAAGCTGTAGGTTTTCACCCGATGCAATGTTGCTTCGCAGTGGAGGAACTTGCACGGAGGTCAAAAATCCCAAAATTGAACATTTGCTCGTTACGGCTAGTTTTAAATGTTAATTAAAACACGTTATGTTTGACACAATTGAATATTTTTAGAGGAAATACGCTGTATTATTCCTTACCCGGTAAGAGATCAGAAAATTAATGTTACAAAGAAGGCAATGCCTTTTTCGAGGCGAAATCCTCGAGTAAATAACTGCTCTTGCCTAACATCTATGCTGAAAACACTAAAACACTAATAAAAACTGAGATGCAGTTAATCCGAAAACAGTTCCACTAGTGGAGTCTCAAAAAAGAAGAAGTAGTTTTGAAAACGCTCTTTTTTTTTGCGTAGACAGGTGTCAACGAAGGCTTTTGAAGAAGGTGACGCGTCATTGTCATACATTGCAGCTTATACCGAATGTATGCAGCGTTCTGCTAAGTGGAGAGGATAAGCGAAAATGTGAGAAGTAAAACGAGACCAGAATGCCAAGTGAAAGAAAGCACTGAGGTGTATTGCACCGTTTTGGTTGAGATGAAAACGGATACTTTGAATAACAGATTGGTGTGTTCACAGCTTAAAAGTCAGTATCAGAAGAAGTGCAGTAAGATTATTAATTTGAAAGTTCGTTGCCATATTTTTCACAGTTTTAGAAGAGACTTCCGAAAAGTTAACAGCCACGCGCGATCATCTGGAAGTTTTCTGACAGGAAGTTTCAGGTCGCAAGCTTTACACTGAGCTCTCACACAGCTGTATTTGTCACAATGAGATAACAGTTAATGAGCCAATTTCCGTTCTGAAGGTTGCAAATGATTTAAGTGAAATCTGATCCCTACTTTCAAGGGTAGGTTACAAGTTCAACGGTGAACAAGTTGATGTTTCTTTCCCTGAANGGGGGTAATCACTTGACTCTGATGATGACTTCCGCACAGGTTGTCGAAACGTCAGTCACTGCCACCGACAACAGTCCTTCTCAGGACTACACTCACCCGGACGATCAGACTACACCTTCACATGTTACCCCCGGGTTCAAACCATTTACTGCATTACGTTGTGGCAATTATTACCGGTGGATTAAGCTGAAGACTAACCTAAGCACCTCAAGATGGCGGTTCAACAACAAAAGAGTCTTTTAATTCATGAAAACGAGGCTAATACGTCACAACTTACAGCATTATCAGTAGTGTTCTCCTAATGATCCCAAGTGGCTTTCCGACGTTATAGAGCCCAGAAAAGTCCGTTCCCCAGTACTGCTTAAAAAGGTGCACACTACAGAGACGTTTGCAGTTTTGCAATTACACCATCAGCAGCCGCTTATGGAATTCCTGTCATCTTTTTCAAACTGGAAAAGTGACTCATCTTCTGAAGTGCTCTTTAGTTTGCATCTATTTAATGGCTGATAAGCATGATTTGGGAATGCTCCAAAAATATGATTAGCTATCAATATTCGAAATTCGGTACCTTCCTCTAAAACGGTCTGTTTCACAACTCTTAGCAACAGAGGAGGGGATAAATAAGTTCTCAGTAATTTTGCTTCAGCTACTGGTCAACGTACAATGTTTTTGCATGCACTCATGTTCCCTTCAGATACTTGTCTCGTGAAAGTAAAGCAACCATAAACCTCATTCGAAAATTTAACAACATCTATGAAAATTTCGAAAAGGTCGATGAAGTCTGACCTGTTTGAAAAAGAGAAAAAGCACATTACATGAGATGTTTCCGTTTTCTCACTAAGAGATCTGTACTTTTTCTCAGCAATAATCATTCGTTTAACTTTTTACTAAGCTGTCCTTCGTTTCTTAATTAGAAGTGTATGAGAAGTTGTGAAAGCGTAAGAATTATTCACTTAGAGCGGGAATATTCTGCATTGCCTCATATTTTGGCACTTAGTGCCTGCAGCACCGGGATAAGTCACTCAAAAGGGCCCTGTTTGCCTGAAACATGTGAATCAAATCAGTCTGGGCTTATATCAGTTCTGAAAATGATCTGTGCAAAATTTAAATTCCAACTTCGAAAAATAGCTTGATATATTTCATCCGCAGGAGGAAATACGTTAAGCTATTTTTCTAAGGCTAACACTACTTGGGTTACCTAAAAAGGTATAAAGCTAAGCTGTAGGTTTTCACCCGATGCAATGTTGCTTCGCAGTGGAGGAACTTGCACGGAGGTCAAAAATCCCAAAATTGAACATTTGCTCGTTACGGCTAGTTTTAAATGTTAATTAAAACACGTTATGTTTGACACAATTGAATATTTTTAGAGGAAATACGCTGTATTATTCCTTACCCGGTAAGAGATCAGAAAATTAATGTTACAAAGAAGGCAATGCCTTTTTCGAGGCGAAATCCTCGAGTAAATAACTGCTCTTGCCTAACATCTATGCTGAAAACACTAAAACACTAATAAAAACTGAGATGCAGTTAATCCGAAAACAGTTCCACTAGTGGAGTCTCAAAAAAGAAGAAGTAGTTTTGAAAACGCTCTTTTTTTTTGCGTAGACAGGTGTCAACGAAGGCTTTTGAAGAAGGTGACGCGTCATTGTCATACATTGCAGCTTATACCGAATGTATGCAGCGTTCTGCTAAGTGGAGAGGATAAGCGAAAATGTGAGAAGTAAAACGAGACCAGAATGCCAAGTGAAAGAAAGCACTGAGGTGTATTGCACCGTTTTGGTTGAGATGAAAACGGATACTTTGAATAACAGATTGGTGTGTTCACAGCTTAAAAGTCAGTATCAGAAGAAGTGCAGTAAGATTATTAATTTGAAAGTTCGTTGCCATATTTTTCACAGTTTTAGAAGAGACTTCCGAAAAGTTAACAGCCACGCGCGATCATCTGGAAGTTTTCTGACAGGAAGTTTCAGGTCGCAAGCTTTACACTGAGCTCTCACACAGCTGTATTTGTCACAATGAGATAACAGTTAATGAGCCAATTTCCGTTCTGAAGGTTGCAAATGATTTAAGTGAAATCTGATCCCTACTTTCAAGGGTAGGTTACAAGTTCAACGGTGAACAAGTTGATGTTTCTTTCCCTGAATAAAGACATTGGACGAGAGTGCCTTCGGCAGTGTGCAGAATTATGGGATAAAAATAGCAACTTGAATAAAGTCACGCAACTGACTGAACAATTAATAACCATGTGTGGGATCTGCACTCATTAAAAACATCGAATAATCGGGTTAACCAATTCAAAAGTGATAGGAAGAATGAAAAAGCTAGCGCTCAGTTGAGGGGCTATTCTTGACAGTTGAGCAAATTCCATCAACTGTCGGTCAAAGCAAATGACGGGCGCAATTTCCAGAAAACGGCTCTGAAACTCGAAAGCAGGCATGCATAACACATGGTATCCTAAATTCCGGATCAAATAATTCAAACTTTGTTCTATCGCATCGTCAAAACTTGTCCAACTTCTTTATAAACGCAGGAACGACTTAACTAATTACCTAAAAAAACACATTTCGAACACGCACAAGAGAAGTTTTTTTCCACGTTATTATTAAACTTATAACCGGTAAATTAGCCGGAGTCTAATCTGGAACCCTATAATCATCAGTTATCCAAAAATATCGCTATACTTGAGTGAGTACAATAACCACAGCAGGAAACTAATGGCTGCCTTGAAATTTCTCAATGCCTTTGCGTGTGGATACTTTGGGAAAACAGCAGGTATCCCTGCTCATGTTCCCACAAATAGAAATAAATTCGAAGTCAAGTTAACGTATTGTGTCCCATAGGTGCTAAGTTTCATCAAAGAAATTAATTAGCTAAAATAACTTTGACAGCAAAGGATCGATTTGCCTAGCTTTCCCGTATAACTGAAATTTTCCTAAGTGATATGCTGACACTTTGTTTACGTAGTGACGATACAATAACACTCATCTAACGCCCCCCCTTCACGCCCACCTTAAGTCGTTCGTGAATGGAATAATTTACCCATCTTTTGATGCTATTTTGACGTTAGGATTTGGCGATTTGAGTTCAGGATTCGCGTCTGAATTTTCGTCTAAGCTCTTTACGGTAAAAACCTTGTGAAATGTCGCTGCGTTATGTGACAACTCAATTGTTCTATTTCGCTGGTTTTGTTTATTTAAGGCACCCAGACATGCCCACCTACCGCAGCTCTAATTGTAAGCGATTACCTTAATTAATTTTGTTATCTGCATATCAAAAATGGTACATACAAACCCTCACCATGTTGTAATGGAACAAAAACGACACAAAATAGAAAGGCGGCTTCCTTGCGGTCGATCTCAAAGGGTATAATTGAAAGAAGACCAACTATTGTGGGTTTTTGGAATGCTGGACATTTCTATCTCCTATTCGTCGTATTTTTCTCACTCGGTTTGCAGTGCGCGTCCCCTATTGAGTCAAAATGAGATCAAAGTCTTCAGCGACATTTAAGTCTGACATGCTGTTATTTTCTATGTGAGTATACAGCGGCGATCCGTTTGAAATGTATGTGTCATTCTAAAAATATATACTTGAAATGCTTTCATATCCAAAAGAAAAAAATCTATCGTATAGTAAGTTCACGGTTATTATTCGCCTACGCAAAAACAATTGAAACTTTCGTTTTGTTTAGGATTTGTTGGATCACCTTCATTTTGGGACGAGGCCAGGAGGTATGAGATTTGATCATGAATTAAACGTTAGTTGTGATACTGTCCTCATTCTGGTGGAAACTACTAAATAGCGAATGGTTAATTATCGTGTCTATAATGATAACCACAGGCGAACCTCTTCCGAGATCATGTTAGAACGGAGAGAAGAAGAAGCGATACCAGAAGCCTTCCATTTCACCGGGAAACACAACTGTATTCAAGAGCAAGCAGGAGTCACCTTCGTATACATGGAAAACTTATCGACGCAATGGGAAGAGATGGCGATAAATACGGTAGGTAAAGCCCATGTATTCTTCGAGTTATGGACGTCAGAGTCAACATTTTTTTTCGGAGATTACCTGACAATGAGCGAGTACTGCAACATTTATAGATTTCCTTATTCACAATACGCGCCACTTTTCTGTATCTGGAGCGCGTATTTTGTTGTTACAGTTGTTGCCGTCTTGTCTTAATCGACTTATATTATTGTGATAGCATTCGAGGAAAGTTTGAAGGTTAAGACTGTAATAAAGCTTTTGTTTCTTTAAACTTGTCGCCAATGAATGGCTCCGCACGAGGTAAGGAGATTACATCGACCATTAAACTGACTTAAGTATCGTGGCAGCGTATAACATCTTGCTTTTCACGCATTTTACAAGAGGCAGTTAATCGGATCGTAACCGAGTTGTAACATTCAAGTTTCAGACAACTTTTCCCTTTAATGCTACTTTTGTTTTGCGCATCATCTTTTTATTTTTGTCATTCAGTCATACGGCTTTTAGCCTAAGGTACAGAGTCATTTTAGAACGAAATGCTCCAAAGGTTTGCGAATAGTCCGTCCCCACAATTATATTTGGTGTGAAAAGGACCTTACTCAACCGCTTTACAAGCGCTGTGGGATGGACATGAGCGATAAGTTTGGCAGAGTAACGTTAAAAGCTACTGCTATCATTAATATTGTGGCAGAAAGTATGCACGCTGAATTTACAGTTTACTTTATGCCTTGATAGAACAGGATACGTAACCGATGATCGCGAACAGTGCATACTGTCAACCGCGAGCCTTATTAGCGGCAAAACGACTAATCCTAACAGAAACATTAGAGTCATCGCATAAGCTAGGAATTTAATCTATTTATGTCCAGTCAGCGATTGTTTGTGTTTTAGCGGCGCCAGGCTTTACCGTTGATAGTTTTGTGAGATCTCAATCAAGCCTTTTAGTACAAGATTGTCAACCATAAGGGTCTTGTAACCGAAAAATCTGCTTGGTCTTTTTTCTGAATATGATTGGCATGGGTCCCCTTGCCAAAAATGGTGGTTGCAGTAGCAGCACAATGAAAACAACAGTGCTTTCACAATTGACTCAAGCAAGAAAAAGCGAGCGCTTTTGGCTAGAGTAGACACGGATTCATTCGGTAAAAACCGTATGGAGTCTAAATGATTATTACGAATAGTCGTTGTAAGCGATTACGAAGCGTCTTATATCAGGTTGATAAACTGTTACACGCATCATAAATTCAACTTTGCTTAGACACAATATGAAAGTTTCCAAAAGAATTTTCTGAATTTATCTTATGTAAACAAACAAAATGAGCTGTTTGATGGATTGGAACCTGCCGCCAACCGGTCTCTACTCTCTCTTCCCTTTACAGCCAAGCTGGTCATCGAGTCAGACAATTTTGGAAGGGTGCGGATTCGTGGAGCACTGACGAATTATTACTTGTGCATCAAACGGAACGCATCGCTGATCGGAAGAAAGGTACGGTAGCTCTTATTGCTTATGGTCATTTCATTATTTTATGCGCCCAATGTTTACAGAATGTTGTGTAATCTTTGTTAATAGGTAGGATTAAAAGCATGGGAGTAGAGCAAATTTGCATTGAAAGCGCGCACGGATAGGAAATTCCTGAGAATGGCGTATACCAAAATTATTATTCTGGTATTCGAAGCGTGTTTTCTTTATACCAAGTAAAGTTTGGTTTAAAAAAACGTTACCATCCATTCACAGCAATGGTAACGAATTAACTAACATCAAGATGTCCATATGTTTGAACTTAAGTGACATTCTGTCAACAAAACCCACGCTCGGGAAAATTCCCTGTATAAAGGACAAAGCATAGTCAAAGGGATTTCTTGAATACATCAAAACGTGTATGACCAGCTGAACTACCAAATTATCTCCTTTACAAGTTGTTACTGTCACGCTTTTCATGTAAAGCGATTGTTTTTGTTAAATTCTGCCCTCTAAAAAGGCTACTATTAAACGTTTTTTTCAGACTATCATTCCTCGCCCTAGCCGTTTTAGGCTGGTTATTTGACAGAACAAGTAAATGAGCTAAAATCCGCGTAGCTTAGCTAGAACAGAAAATGGATGAATATTTTTTGTCGAGTAGCTTTGACTAGAAGACACCCAGAGGATTACATCCTTATCAATATCAATTTCCCTTAAAAATTTCTTATTTCGTTAAACCAATAAAAATAGCCGAAAGTCTTTAAACGCAGAAAACCAATTAACTTACTCGACTGACAGGATACACTCGCTCAATTGACTTTTTCGGCGAAAGGGACTCCATATAAGGTAGAATTAATTCCTAAAGCTATAGTTAGGGCGTGTTTTTTACAGAATTCTTTCCATTTCAAACCACTTTTTAAGTAGTTTTGATAGGCATTGCTGTCGTACTTTTCTTCAGGTCCTAATTAATCTTATCGATCAAAAACAAATGAAGGGCTCTTCGTCGGCGAGCTCGAAATATCTTGGCATAGTAACAAGGTTCAGGGTCCAAACTCCTGAGGTTTATGAAGTCTCAGAATTCGGCAGTAACAGATTGACGATCTTTGGCGTATTTTTCTGGAGGCAGCCTGACTGTTTCTCAGTGATTCAAGGTTGAAGAATCGAAACTCAATCCTTTCTTAACACAAAAGCCTCATTTTGTAAATGGGCCTGTGCTAGGAAGATCACTTCCTTCCCCCACCCTCCCGTCAGGTCTCGACGTGGCCCACCTTGAGGAAAGTTGGCTTTAGATTACATGAAATCCAGTCAGAGATAGAGTAACCAACGAGAAACCATTTCTTGCAGGCCACAAAGTCCAAAAGGTGCGTGTTTTACGAGAAGTACGCCGAAAACCATTACACAGAATTTCTTTCGGCTTACAACGAGAGTTGGACAATAGCAGTGTCTAAGAAGGGCAAAATGAGGCCTGGGTACAAGGCACGAAGGGGCCAAAGAAACGCTCAGTTCATTGAACGAGCTTCTAAGATCATCATTCAAACAAAAAATGTCCGTGAGTCACTCTATCATGGGCTCCGTGACCATATCGAACAACTCCTACGTGCCTATAGAACAAGAGAAGGAGATGAGAACAAGGAGAAACCGAGAAAAATGCCACACCCTGGATACAATTCAGAGTCGTGGAAACGCAAAGCAAAGATTAAGCGGAAGGAGAAAAAAATGAAATTGCGATCTAAGAAGAGACTGATGAAATTGCTTCGCAAAGAACAACGCAGGGAAAGGCAAAAAGATAAATCTTAAGTATTATTATTTGGTGTCCTTGTTCCTCTTAAGTGTAGCTGTTACTTGAGTTTTCGTCTTGCAGATATCCCTTCGTCATGAATTAGGAGCCTCTTCCTTTTTTCACTTTTCGGGTTTTCCTGAATATATTTTGTCAACATGCAATCCTCTCGAAAGTTAGAAAGCATTCTTTCGTTCATCTAAGCTTCTGGTCAGCAACTCATTTTGATAGCGGCTAAAGATCCTCGGCTTGGATCATTCAAAAACATCATACCCGTGTGTCGCAAATTAAACAAATGGGTAGTGGTGTCACGTGTTAGTAAGTCTTAAACAGGTTTATTATCAGACCAGCGACAAATTTCGATGTGAGCTTGTGGTCAGTCACGTGAGACACAAAAAGAGTAAAGTTTATTAGTTTACCGCTACTTTTTTTCCTTACAAAAATTCAAGAGCAGCTACAAGATGGAATAATTTGGGGCCAGAGGAACCCCTCATTATTTTGAAGTTTGAATAATTGGCAGAAATTGATTCGACGGCAGCGCAACCGCCGCTGAAAATAAATACTTATTTGACACAAATGAAAAAGAACGTTCACTAGTACTTCATTGTAACAGCTTTTGATGACAGTCGAAAGGTTTAAAAGTCATAGGAAATCTATGGATCGCCACTGTTGCAAAGAGGCATGTTACCCATCAAGATTCTTAAAAAACTCAAATTAAACTTTTTGAGGATTGTGATTAGTATCGCGTTTGGGGAAATCTTGTCTGCATATTCGTCGGATTGCTCACTTTTTTGCGTCAACGCCAATGGTTAAACTTAGACAATTTATTTTTAAGCTTTGATTAGCTCTATAGTGCAGTGTCATTTATTTTGGGCAATCATGTAAAATTTCATAAGCGAATTCTTGAGCCCAGTGACAGCAATAAGTTTCAAGTTAAAAAACATCTTTTTTTTAAAAAGGAGTACTTCTGTCCAGGCCCGGCTTATATCGTCATTTGATTTACTAGTATCCACTCACTTTTTTTTTTTTTTAAATCTCGCTTAAATTCTCCCCCAGTTATTGGAAAAGGTAGCATCTCAATGTCTTACAAGGAATACATAATCGAAGAAGATTTTTTAGGAATACAAACAAGTGGATATATTTTCGCTATAGCAACGGAAGGAAGAGTTTTCGTGTCTTAGACCGGTAGGAGAAGTATCGATGTTATTACTGACATCCAATTTTATTAAATATCGTATCATATTGAGATTTACATGTATGGCTAATCATATTGATTGAACTGTTCTTCGTACGTACTTGTATTCAATATATTTACCGCGGCTTCGATGGGACAACATTCGCGCTGAAACGTGAGTAAACAATTAAAATTTGAATTAAAGTTACAATTAGCAACATCTAGTGTGCAAGATTTATTTTACGCAGCATCAGAAATCCTATAAGTACTCTTTTAAGAGAGTCTGTTGACTTGAAAGGTCTAACTGATAAAAATCCTCGATAAGTTAATAAGTAAGGAGTTTATCAACCCTTTCACCCTTAAGAGTGACTAACATCTAATTTCTCCTAACAACATCATCCCTGAATCACACATTAAAGTCACGAGAATTAAGGGAATGATCACCAAGTGAAGAAGCTCTTGATTATAAAACAGATTCTCCTTGTCAGCATCAGAAATGTATAGAGAACAGTATGGAGAATTTGCATACTAATATCAAGGGGTTAAGGGTTAAAGGGTGATTTTTTTCATTCTCGGCACCAAGGATTGGCCACAACAAAAAGTATATTATGAAAGTATATTATGGTGTCGACCAACGTGCCATCTTTATAGGCTTTCATGACTTCTTTTGCTTAAATTTATAAGCTTTCATGAATTCTTCATTCAAACAAAAGGCATTGAGGCATTTACACTTGCGTTTACCGAAACTTCTTTTCCCTTTCCCATCCCTGGAACAGGCAGAACAGCAGAACCGTCCGAGCTTAAATGGGCCCGAAGTTAGTGGGTGGGAAGATACACACACACCACACGTGCCTAAAGGGGACGGAACTTATAACCTTGATATAACAAGTCTTTTCATTAGTTGCAAAGTAGAGTCTCGTTAGTTATCTAAACAATTGCGCGCGAGCCGGTTCCATGTTGTTCGCTTATCTCAACGAAAATCGAGCTCCTTATTGCTAAATTAGTGCGTGATATTATTATTTGCTACAAAATAAACAGAAAAAAAACCACAAAACGAAATGATGAAAAATAAAATGGAATGAAATAAGATAACTTTTTTTTTTTGATAATGAAACTAGATAAAAGTGAAAAAAAAAAAAAAACAAAAACAACAACAACAACAACAACAACAAAAAAACCTCGGAGGCTACGAGAGTTCAGATACCCAATTGAAAATTCTCTACTAGGGTGCGTGCTGTGAATTTTTGCACGCGCTGGTCAAAATACTAATTAGCTAGAGTAAAGGAGAGAAGAGAAATGTTTGTGGACGAGAGGAAGTTGAGCAGTTAGCAGAGCATGACGCCTTGAAATATCCGAAACAAAACTTCCTTTCCATCCTTGAAGAAGAGCAAGAGAGTACGTCTTTTATTTCCGAATCGTACGACGAATAGCATGAAAGAGCTGCATGCGAGCTGCGCGAACACTTCTTGCATAAAGGAAGATTCAAGAGTTCGGGCGGATAGAAAATCTAAGGTAATACTTAGTGAAAACTTTTGCTTGTGCAGAAAAAAAGTGGGTCAGGAAAAAGCTCAGGGTCGCATCTATACAGGTATCTAACTTTTTGAGGAGAAATAGAGTTAAATAACCGAAAGTTCCTAATTTTGATTTAATTGCTCGTTCATATGTTCGACAGCTTTCTTTGTTTTCTGTTCCAAAATCCAATAGCTTGGAGTCATATCGGTAGATTTTTCTGCCACAACAGTTGTGATTGCTCGCAAGAATTGATTGCAGAGATTAAATTTATATTTCCCTTGCTTACCCGATCTTTTACGGCACCGAATTTTGATATAGAAATTTAGTCCTAACTGTCTCAATCAGTGAATCAGCTGGGAAATCCTGACCGCGAATTTTTTTAAAATCTTTTTACATACTTCGTTGAAAATGAAATTTTTTTCCAGCACTTGATGGAATGTTTTACACATATATTTTTTATTATAGTTAATGATTAAAAGATTTGCCGCAATATTGGATCTAACATAATTTTGACTAAAGCAAAGTCTCTGAGGTAATGTTTTGTGTTTCGGGCTGCACAGACATCCATATAGTCCTCTCCACATCAAATCATCGCTTTGAAGTTGTGTGCTTAAAAAATTATCTGGAAAGTAGAAAATTAATTACTTTTTTTTCTCATAGTATCACTGTAATGTTTGTTGTCTCCCCATACTGGAAACTGGTGACTAGTCACTGAATGGCTTCTGTTGATAGGCTTAAAAATCCCACATGACAGCGTGAAAATGAGCGGGAAAACGAGACGCGGTATGCCACGTCGTTTCGTTGTTTTGTAAAACTGGCTTGTTTGAATGATTTTGTTAGACTTGATGCAGATATCTTCGATTACGAGGAAAACAAGGAGCCATCTTACCATCTGGCGTCAAAATGTCCTCGATCGGTGAGTAATTATACTCATACGATAAATGTAATTGTAAATCAGGTGTTTATTTGCTTCGGAGTTATTGTGAAAAAAAAAAAAAAAAAAAAAACCAAGCGTGCTCTCAACAAATTCTCAGATGTTGGCAGAACAAAAGCAAATTATTTCTATATGATTTGGGGGCTGTTACGATACTATAAATTACATAAATGGAGAAAGAGAAGCCAGGAAATTCGCATGGCAAATAAAAGTAAGGCTTAGAAAAAATTTCGAAAGCTACGAACGGCAGATTTTTATGCGACAGTTCGTAACGAACGCAGATTACAAGTTTGGAGGGTCCTCGCACATTTCAGCCGCTGCTTATATTCAACAGAGAGGGATTGGAAAAAACTGACATAGCTCTTCAAAAGTGCTAAGCAGTATCAAGGTATTTGGGCGTATAAGCATCACTCAGAATGCAGGAATTTTGTTTGTGTCTAAAATGAAACTCCATATTTAATTAAAAGTCGTCACAACATTTTTTCTTCTCATAGGAAATAAGGTTATATTGGATTTGTTCTCTTCAGTTTTATGAAATAATACAAAGTGGACAAGCTTGGAAATCACGGTTATGATTCTAAGGATTTTTGTGACAGGTCAGCTGGCATCCTCAACGTACCTTTTGGCAAAGTAGCTTTGGTGATCCTATGATTAACGTCGCTGTAGATGATTTCGTGATAAAATAGTGTTCACCGTCAAAAGAATCATTTACAAACTCCTTGTTCAGTCATAGTTATTATAACTGTTTCTGTTATAACAATATGCATGAAAAAATTACGCGCGTTTGTTTGGCTGAAAATGAGTGCTTTTTTGATATGACACGTGTGCAAACAAATGAGTTGTAATACGAGTGACAAGTAATAACACTCGACTCTCTGTGATGTTTTTTCGTGCAAATTATTGATAAGTAACAATATGATTTCTCGTGCAATTTTGTTTGAATAAATACTTGTAAATTTTTCGAAGACTAAAAAATCGCACACGCCCAACGGCCGGGCTCGAGTAATTTTGTTTCTTTGATAAACTTTCTCGTGCCCGTTAACACCAACTGGCACTCGAAATCATGTCATTGCCCATACTAATTGTCATCATTTACCGAATTTTTTAAGCTTGTAATTTGTTCTTGTCGTGCATTGGGGAGATCTACTAAAATGATTTTTAATCATACATATATCTTATTAAACAAGCGCGAGGGCCGTACTGGGAGAATATCGGCCCGAGGTCTGGACAGTACGGACCGAGCGCAGCCTGGTCCGTACAAAAAAGACCGAGGGCCGATATCCTTCCAGTACGGTCCCGAGCAAGCTTGGTTAATAAGAGATTTATTATACGACTGAAGTTCAAAGGGACACAAGTGCGGTATCATTCGGGACCATTCGGGACAGTGCCCGGTCCAATACTTAGAGAATATTGGACCGGTAATAGAGCATTTTGATTGGTTGATTTTAGTTATTGGCTCTCTGACTGCCCGAGTCGTGTAATAAGATGACATATTACAGGTTACACTGTGACGGTATTACGATGCACAATAGTTTATGCAGCCATCAAACACACACGCACGATTTCTGTGATATTTTTTTCGTTATGAGCCACCATTTGCAAAGGCTTACGCAGTTTGGCAGCAGGAAGGTATGAGAGATCTTGTAATGGAAAGGGAAGAGATAGGGAGTGCCCGATCTTACAATCAAGCGACTTGTGCCACGAATCCTTAGCGTAGAAACGTAGATTCGCTTTTTCCAACACAAATGCAGAGAAACCGTTTGAAAGAAAAGATTATTTCATCTTCAGACTTATTTGTCTTCCTCTTCTCTGTACCTCTGAATTTGTTACATTGCTGTTAGAGATAACCCGATTATCTTGTTCGCGTACAAAGTGTTACGACCCACGTGTTTTTTCATGGTAGTTATTTTCCTCCCACTGATGATGATGAAAAATATTGTTTTCCTGAGAGATGAGTGAGTGGTGACACATGAATATCCCATAAAAATCAACCAGTTTCGTTATCTTTATGATACGCCCCCAAAATCTGTAAACAGTTTTCCTGGCCTCATCAAGGTAACTCGCCCAATCGAAAAACAATTTGAATTCCCTTCGCAATTTTTAGGTATAAGTTGAAATCATATCTCATAACAGTCATAGCCTAAAACCGTGAAGGCTTCGTCATTAGTTGAACGACTTAAGGCAGGTTTAAATATGACGGAATTACTATAAATATATTGACGTTCTTGAGGGCCGAATGTGGTCTATCGATGTGAAACAAATAAGAAATTCCGAAAAAAAAGATGACTTCAAAATAAGAAAGTTCCCTTTGACCGCACAGGAGGAAAACAACGGAAGCCGAACCCAGGATGTGATAAGCGCACACGGTAAATATAACTTTCCATGTTACACAAGTAAAAACAAATTTTAAAAGTTTCTTCGTGGGATGCACTAGACTTTTAAAAAGCCTTTCAAGTGCTAAAATACCTCTGGAATCATTTATACAGGTTACTTCTTATTTTCAGCTGTAGATGATGAGAAACAGATAAGAAATTCCAGAATAAGAGATGACTTCAATAAACAAGCTCGCTTTGACTGCACGGTAGGAAAACAACGGAAGCCGAACCCAGGATGTGATAAACACACACAGTAAAATAACCTTCCTTGTAAAGAATAAGAAAGATTTTAAGTTTGAGTGTGGTAAAGAAATATAGAAACATGTGTTTCGTCTAGTCGCGAGCGTGGGACAAGCAGAATTGTTCTTTTGTCCCACGCTCGGGACTAAACGAAAAAAACATCTTTCAATAACTTTCCTTGTTGCGCAAATAAAAGCAAATCTTAAAGATTTCCCAATAGTATGCACTAGAATTTTAAAAAGCCTTTATTTCAATTTTCAAAATACTTCTGGAATCTATTATACAGGTTGCTTCTAATCAACTGTGGATAAAACGCAACAGACCGGCGACACAGAACCACTCAGTAAGGAAATTAATTTGTGTCGCCTCAAAGAGAGTAAAAAAAATGCTCTGAATTGCATAAACCATGGGGCTCTACAACAATAATATCCTAATACTTTGCAGTTAAAAAATTATTGAATAAATATCACAAGAGAGACCATTGTTAGGCCTCGAGTTTAGCGCCTCGATTCCAGCTTGCCTCGTGGTAGCGCATGATGAGAAGCGGCTCCGTTTGTGTGATAAGTTATTTTCTACTATTCATCAAAAAAACAGAAAACCGATCCCCAAACTCACCTTCTTGAGTACATGACGAATGAAGCCTCATCTGGCATCAATTTTGAGAGACTCCTTTTCCCTCAGGAGTAAATGGGTAACGAGTAATTGCATAAGTTGTTTTGAGGGAGGCATTTGTTACCAAGTGTGCTCCTTTCATCTGTATCGCGCGTATGTCCATTAAGCCATACATTTGCTATGTGATTCCACTGCGGGATCCCACGTGTCACTAAATTAGTTTTATAGAGGTGTAGAAATGAACGTACCTTCACCCACTAGAAATGTTCGGCAAACAGCTTCGTTTGGACGACCACAAATCTTACAAAAGGTCTTCCCCTTCTAACCTCCGACGCCGATTAAGTGTACATAAGCTATGTTTCTTTGGATACGATGAATATATGAAGTTCATATATTTTTCAATATTTCTTTGTACGACAAATCCCGCAAATTGAAAGAGCTTGTTGATAACGATTTTACCTGCGGCAAGTTTGAATTACCGCTGATTCAAAACTTCCTGGTTAAATCCGATGGAAAGTGTGCAAAGGTATAAACACTTAAAAGCAGGGGCTCGAACGTTTCTAGGATCAAAGTCGCTCTTTAGATATGGCCATTGTAATTTTTCCTTTCTGCCATATCTCTGACACTCGCGTGGTACCTAGCCTGTTATTCGGTTCTTGATGAAAACAGTATGCAAAGTGAAAATCGCCAACCTCATCTTGGGTGGTCAAAGTACATCTATACGTTTATCTTTTTTTTGACTTAGAAACAATGGTCTAAAGTTTGGCCCAGAAGGAACACGACGCCATGTGCCAGTATCTGACGCGTCTGCTTCGGAGAGACCAAAGAGATCCGCAAAAGAACACTGTTGTTTTTAAACAATTCACAGATTTCTCAGTTTAAATTTAAATTTAAGCCGAAGGTTCCTATATCAACACCATGTGTTCTCGACAGTGAAAGGGTTGGTTTGCGCCTTCACGCTTGACAACTATTCTCCGTTTCCAAGTTTTTTCGCCAAAGAAAGTAACTCTTCCCACTTACCATAATTTGCCCGTTCTTACTTGATCTTTTATACACCACTCCTCAAATCTATTGTTATAACGTTGGGATTGCTTGATAGTTAGGCCTTTATGCGTTCTGGGAAAAGCTGATAATGATCTATACGAACAAACTTTTGTGCATTGCGGTTATTTGATTCTAGCATGATAAATAATTTGGCCCTTTTTTTTCAGAGAAAAGGAAAATGAGCGATCTACATGATTATGACCCTCGCCACTATTTCCTCAAAGAAAAAAAATGACATAGATGATGATTCAATAAGAATTGTGCCCTCGGGCTATTTAAAATAACCTCCGGCGAAGAAAGGTCCAGCGAGGTGCTAATACCTACGCAAAGGCCGAACAGCTAAAATCAAATGTAAGTGCCGGAAAGTTTTTGTGTGGTGCCGCTTACCTTTGAATTAATAGTCGTCTTTTTCCTTCTATTTTTGTTTTTATTGTTTTTTGTTTTAGGAACACATAAAATGAAAAGAAGCATGTTTGACAAATTTTCTGACTTATAAAGCTCATTAAAAAAGATCGTAAAGCGTTTTAACACCGGAAATTGCTGTTAAAAAGGTTACAGATAACAAGGAAAGAAGAAGCTAACTGATCAAGGAACTGCGTGAAACTTTTCGTTTCTGAAAGAACAGCCATTAAAGAACTATTGCCATAATTATCACAGCGGCAGCCTCGTGGTGCTCGCTAGTTGTGTGGCGAAACCACGTCCGGGCCAATCGCATGAAAACAGAGAAAAAACGACTCGACAAACAAAATCCCAACCCACCCAAAACTGTTTTTAATTTAAAGCGGGCTCTCACCTCTTCATTTTAAAGACATCTGTTAGATCACTTAGCAAACGAACAAATCAAAATCGTTGCCTTGTGCTGCTTTCCCAGCAGTTATTCCTCACCAGGCGCCAAAATTCAGTAAGTGATGCGTTGGATTAAAACCAAATTTTCCGGTAGGAAAAACCAACCGTTCGGGTTACTAACGAGAAAAGAGGAAGTTTGTGGGTGCATATAGAGAGTCTTAAGTCCTACCAAAATAAATAATTTTGTGTGGAAGTTACAATTTCAGTTTGAAAGTCTCTTCTTGGTTAAAAACGGATAAAATGGACCGGTTAAGTTATCTAGCCAATTGTACAATCTAAACTGGAAACGATTTTGCCGAGTATAAAAACAGAGTGTGTTCGGCATGAGAGTATTCATAAGTTTCCATCAATATTCTTGCAGAGAATATACCTTCACTGACAGAGAAGAGGCTTACCCTGTTTTTTTTTTTTTAAGTTAACCTCATTTTCACAGACTTTTATATACTCAACAGAGCGACAAAAAGAGTAAAAATTATATCCTAATTAAAGTGTCATTTGCATCTTCAGCTGAATAGACAGTTATGACAATTCAAAATCTTTGTAAACTTTCATATGGAGCGGCTTTTTTAGTAATATCTGTGGTACAACCCAAGAAAATACCTATTTCCTTGGAGTCCTTTCTCAATATACCGCATATTCCGGGTAACTCTCTGCCCTGGGTGTTACATTTTGGGCTTTCGGAATGCCGCCTTCGAAATTTACCCCAAGAAAAACAATTTTGTCCCTGGCCAAACAATAGGTAGTTTTTCTTTCACCTCAGGGGTTACACGTAACAGGACACCTCGGATGAAATCCTCTGTGGTATCACTTCCCATCTGAGAACTTCTCATTTACACTTGACATGGTGAGAAAATGTCTCCTATAAAAGCAGGCAGTTTGTGAAGACCTCGTTGGTTCATCTCAAACTCAGAACGGCGAGAAATCATTTGTGGACTGCTTCACCGACCGGTGATTTTCTACGATGGAGACGACACTTTCATCCCTGTGTGTTAGCGGTCTTATTTTAATCCTGTAAGTCGTGACAATTTGGAAACGTCCAGTTCAGACAACATGCCACACGTGTTGCTAAATGCTAATTTCTCTAGACTGATAAAATCTCCGTATCTCTTCAGCGTGCCGTTTGGTTTTAGCACCAGTCCCATTAAGAGGGGAAGACTATCGTACCCCTCGAGTTCCTCGATTTGTCCAACAGACCACTCCGTACCGGTAAGTAAAGATATTTAAACTCAATACAACACTATTATGTGGTAAGGGACCTTTCTAATTTGGTTTGTTATTTCAGATTGCCGATAGAATAGCATGTCATGTTGCAAAACAAAACGTTACTGACCACTACAGTACTCCCGTTGAGAGAATTGTTCAACTCTATTCAAGAGCCTCGACTGGTCATGTTCAAATAATGAAAACGGGACTAGATGCACTTGGTCAGGACGGCTCAGCTTACGGTAAGAGGATAAAGCTTAGTTAGGTACTTGGGAATTAAAAGGGTGTTGTTGCTCAAATTCTAACTATCAAAGGTCTTTAAAGGTTCTCATTTTTTCGCGTATCGTTTTCTTACTTGAGATCAAATTTGCCTATGCTTTCTGAGAAAACATAAAAGCATTTTTCAAAATAGAGTTACTCAACGGAAACTGCTCGCTATTGTATTTGTTGGGCCTCATTTTTCTGGATGTGGTTTTTAAATTTTTATAAATATCGTGATAATCGTATTTCGTGATAAATCGGAAAGCTGACAATCATATGGGGACCACATGAAAAATTTAGCGCCATTTGCGAAGGACACGCCAACAGCAATTGGCTCTCGGCGTCTTAAAGTATTTGCCTTGTATATATTTCTCCATAAGAGTTGCATTTAGGAAGCCAGGTATTTCGTCTTAAATGATCATTTTTGTGGCTTACTTTTAATTACGAATATAATTTCTCCGCGTAAAGGCGATAACCTCTCCTCTTCCGTTCTCAGTTCTCTTGGATAAATCGTTTTCAGAGCTACCATCTTGAGTCAGCAGTATAAAACTGTAAACGATTTTAGAAATTGAAGGTTCGATATATTTTTCTGGTGAAGTGCAGACAGTGAAGCTTCGAAAAAATGGCGTGAATGAGTTGGCATGGCCGGCTATAAGCTAAATTCGTGATTTTTGGGCTGGGTCTTTGCACCACAGGGATCGGAACTAAATAAGCCGCAAATGCCCTGTACTTTACTCTCTATTCGTTTCGCTGTGTTCGGCTTTTCATGACAAAATCCGGTGATTTATTCATTTAAAATTACCCACAGAGATGTTGTGGCCTCGGTGCGGGGTAAAAGAATGTACTGGCACAATATTTCGACAGAACATTGAACCTGGCTTCAAAGCAGACGTTGCGTTCATCAAAGGCGGTGATATCTTGATAGGAATGACGCGACATTATAGTTTTTTCTGCGTGGTTCGATCACAAAAGGCCTAATGCAAAATTAAGCCAAAACTGGTAAAAAAGTTGCAAGACTGATTAAAAAAACCGTACAAGCAGAAATACTACGATTCATTTTCCTACTTTATGTTGGCTCTCGGTTTATACTCTCTTACTTGTTTACGTTTGAAAGAAAGTTAATTAGCAAATCTGATTGTCCAAGATCTGTTTTGGAAAGTAAACTATCTAATTGTGTTTTAGTGTGAAATGTCCTCGCTGATGAGTAGAGCCGTTATCATTGTTTTTTCAGCTTGTAGCTTCGCTAATTGTCCTGTGTAATGGAACATGTGAGATGTTATTTTTGCGGGCTTAGTGTATTAAAAATTCTTTTTAGACATTATTTTCTAATTTGGTGGGTCAATGCATCGTGAGACAGGTTGCGTTGATTAGCGGTAGTTTGGTCGGCTTTATTTGATACTTGAAGTAGAGATGCAAAACAGCTTTGCAACTGGCATGGCGCCTCTAACAATTACTAAACTTGCAAATTAAAAGTATCCGTTAATTTTAGGTTGATTGACATTACCCTGGAAAAATAGCCTTTCTATAGCTCAAGAAACAATTCTGAAATGGAGTTTAAGGCTTTGACTTGAAAAATTCAACCTTTCACAACCACTTTTTTCAATGTAAACGCTACATAAAATTAGGAAAGCTTTGTGTTTGCAGGGGAAGTTAACCATTCCTAACTTTGTGATAAAATTAGAATAAATTCAGCAAATCACTAGGCAGGGATGTAACTCTTAGTGAGAGTAGTGGGAGAATAAACAATCGATTCCCGTTGTTATCATGATAGGTCAGACCATATGAATAAGGATAAATAATGAAGAGGGCGGAAAAATAACAAAAATATCGAACACTTATCTTGTTGACGATTCTGCTGGTGATTTTTAACAAAGCTCTTCTTTTTGTTTGTGCTTCATTCATTTCCTGTTTTGCTCACGTTTTCATGATATTCTTTACCTGCCGTGCGAACAAAGAACTGGCAGAATTGAATTTAAAAAAATGCAGAGAGACAAAACCATAGCCACTTATAGAGGTTTTGTTAATAAACATTGCCACAAAGAGACAAAGGACGGGAGTTGGCCCGGAAACGCTGAAATTTTCCGTGCAGTTTGGAGTTTTCTTGGACGTCTCCTTCGTTCCTCTGTGAGCAAGTACATTTTCTCTGGATGTCTGTGGTATCCAGGATGATCACAGACGAAGCTTCTGTCGAAGCTTTGACCTTCTTTGCATACTTTTTCATTCCAACGTTTTGATTTTAACAGATAACTTAAACAATCCATCATGCAGCAGGAAAACTTTTCGGGAGTTCATGCCGTGCAGTACTCATTCTTCAAGTTGTCTGGGAAGAATTTTTTTTGCGGGTCGAGATGGCTGAAATTTCTGTTTGGAACTAACTTTTGAAATTACTTATTTAAGAAAAAGAATTAGCACGAAAAGAAAGGTTGCTCTCTTGATTTTCGTTTTTCGGTTTAAAGAAGGCAGCAACACGTTCACCGTAAATTGACCGTTATTTCTCATGCGGAGTTTTTTTTTCACTTCGAGAAAGGTAATCACTTTTTTGGGGCGTTTTATTGCACGATTTCTTTTTCTATTTTCAGGGAATAAATTTGCCAATCAAGATTTATTTGATAAATTGTGTACTGAAAAACTAAAACTAGCGACATTTTCGTACTTCGCAGTATGAATGTACATTCATTTGTTGTTAGTTTAATAGCTCCGCACTGTTACTGAGATGTGTTAAGATGATCCTATGGATTTTGCTACAGCAAATATCTTTGCTGAATACAAAACGAATGTCTGCTTGGCCAATGGATTTCTTCTTTTCTCAGTATCTGCCCTTCACTTATCTCTGGACGACTTTTTTAATACAGATGCATACCTAATTTTAGCATTTCGTGTAACAGTTCAATCAACATCGGCCGATTAGTGCAAGATTTTTCCAGTTGGTTTTCTGCATGCAATGCTTAAAATATTTTGAGTGATATGTTTGGGCGATATGAAATTAAATTTTGGTTGAACGGACATTTAGATTCTCAAAAGTTATTGTCAGCCGGCTGGTGGCCGAGTGGCCGGCCGGTGGCCGAGTGGCCGGCCGGTGGCCGAGTGGCCGACCGGTGGCCGAGTGTCCGGCCGGTGGCCGAGTGGCCGGCCGGTGGCCGAGTGGCCGGCCGGTGGCTGAGTGGCCGGCTGGTGGCTGAGTGGCCGGCTGGTGGCTGAGTGGCCGGCTGGTGGCTGAGTGGCCGGCTGGTGGCTGGTGGTCAGATCGCTGATGGTAAGCAACAGCTGAGTTTTGAGTCTTATGTAACGCTGAATGAACTTTTTCATCAGATGATTTTCCTCAGCCGCCCTTCAAAGTCAGACGGAATGTGAAAACTCTCAGTCAACTGGAGCTATCTTGTTAAGCCGAACTTGATAAGCATTGTGATTACGATAAGAGCAGTGACTCTCCATGACAAAAGTAAACATCTTATGGATCTATCAACAGAACTTTCTTCTTCCCCACACTGCTCGAGAGATATCATATCTTTTTTCCTAATTTTATCTAATTATGTTACCGCCCCATTTTCTTCACTTTTTGTCTTTTAAGCTCCAATGTTTTTATTCATTTATTTACTGCAGCGAGACTGGTGCTGGAGTCCGACAACTTTGGACGGATAAAGATCAAAAGGGAGAAAACAAACCGCTATATCTGCCTAAGTAAAAAAGGAGACCTCGTTATCAGGGTGAGGCTTGATTTATTTGTAATTACCTGTGCTCTGTTTCATTGGCCTAGTGTTATAACCATTCGAAAGTGATTATGTAACTGAGAAACGTAATAAGTATCGTCGGTTCTCGGTTTCTACTCGGTAACATTACTTTCTTCGATTTAATTTGTTAGTTCACACTGTTTATCAATCTTAACTTAAGATACCAGGATGTACTGACCGCTGAATAGGTTATTTTACTGAAATACTGTGGACGAAATGAAGTAAATGGATATCAATTACCCAGTTTCACGGGGAGTGTTGCAAGAAGGTTAAATACATACTATCGAGCGACGAGTTTTTGGACACAGAAGTTAACGAAATCCTTTCAATTACTATACCCAACGCTGACGAAATTCGGAACCCTGAAATATGTAAAGACTATCTTTTCGGTTTCAAACATAAAAGTCCTTATTAGTTACAATTTCACGGGATAATGTTTTAAAGAAATTCCTCAAGAGTAAGTAATCTTACTTTGACGAAGAATGCTAGAGAAGAAGGAGAAGAAAACTGCGAGACCATGCTGACATCTTAATACTAGGGGTTACAATTTCCGGGAACTCCCCCACTTTTTTAGTTTTTAGCAAGGGCGAGTAAAAGTAATATTTACATACATTTTATGAATCAACTTAAGCTGCGAATGCAGCCTAGATTGCGAACCATGCACTAAGTATACCCCTCTTGAAGGGATTGCAAGACATGCTCAGTTTTACCATGTACTTTTATTTTCTCTCACATATTAAAGGTAGAGCTTAGAACATCAGGTTATGTCGCAGTTTTAGTTCAGGCAATGTAAATATTTTAACACTTGACCATAGCAGACCAAAAAATGGTTATAAACACACAAATATCAAATGAGGACACAAATCATCCAATGGCCATTGTTCTTAACGTGTTTAGAAACTTTCACAGGCTGATGTAATAACTGTTGAATTTAGTGTGAGCGGAAAACAAGCTGAGCACACTATCATTTTTTTCCCAGATCGATATCGTGGACGTTTAAGTATAATTCAGGCAAATCAATACGAAAGCTAATCTAAGCGAGTAACTGAGATATCGTGCATTGCTACAGCACTAAAATTAGTTTTTAAAGTAAGTAAATTACAACGCTGTAGAGAGGTAATATCACCCCACGATCTAGAAATGCCTGAGATGTCATTGCACATGTTCTAGGGGGGCGATTTCATCACAAACATAACATGTTAGGCGCTAAAAATATTTCTGGAAAATATAATGAATTTCTCCATTTCTCTGCACGGGATGCTATTCATGTTATGTATACCCCAGCCATAATGTTCTCCCACGGATGTTAGCACACGTCAAGCTGTGCGGTAAGATGTACCTCACGAAGGGTCCAAAGTTTCTTGTAAACGATATGACGATGTGTTCCTCTTATCAGCAATAAATAAGGTTGCCTTTTGTTCTTTTTAGAAAAAAAAACCTTCATATTATCGTTATAAACCAAATGAAAGCTAAACTACAACTTGATGACCATTCTCAAGTTGGGTTTAATAAATGGTTAATCTTTTCACGTGATGTTTGCCGCTGGGTAATAAATCATTTTGATCGCACACGGTCTATTTATCTATTGTGTGACTATGTTTGGCAGAGACTGTACCGACATTGGATTGGAGTCCAATAAAAATAAAAAGCACAACTAGTGAAATACTAGTCTTAACTTTAATCTAGTTGGAAACAATGCTTGAAAGGAAAATTGACTAAAGTGATAAACAAACAAACAAACAGAGTGTGTTCAATGACTTTAATAATTAGTTGAAGACCTGTCTATGATGCTGAACTTGTCTGAAGCAGCCATATTTTTATCAATTTTCATCTTATTGATCAGTAATATAACGTCTGCTGCTCTTTCTTTCTTATTGTCTCATTGGCTGACTCACAAAATAGTTCACAGCTTTCCGCTAGAAACCGTTCATTATGATCTATCACATCAAGACGTCATGCGAAACATGTCTGAACTTATGTAAGACTTTTAAGCTTATATTTGTACCTGCTGCAGAAGTGAGGATCAAATAAGTTGGAGAGGGTTAAACCGGATTATTTTGTTGTGCATCGATCAGTCATTATTGTTGGTCTTGTTATGTTCTGTTGCCGTTGTCTTAGTCTTGGATGTCTATCTTCGTAGGGGTTCAATCGTTGACTAAATCGTTCATTACTAGTCTGTCTTCAAAGTTGCAGTGTGAAACTAATTATACTACCAAGAATAATTTCTGTCACCAGGTGGTATTAGTAGTTGAAAGTACAATATCTTTGCAATCTCTAGCCAATTTGCATTCAAAAACACCGCTTCAGATAAAACTAATTGACTGAAGAATAGAAAATGTTTTTGTCGCGACCTTCACTTCTCCTGACACACTACAATCAATGTCAAAAGACCAACGTCGTCGAGCACAACTGATGAATAAAAAAAATAGAACCCGGCTAGATAAAATTAGAACACTCAATTGCTGCTCTTATTTAACCTGAACTCAGGGCTGCAAGAACCCCGGCCAACATTCAAACCTGTAGATGCCATTTATCATAAAGCACCTAAATGGTACAAATAATGTCGAGGCGTTTGTTAAATTCGTTTGAAACAGTTCTGTCGAAGCTGATAATTCGCCATGATTTATGTTTATGATCAGTTTTCAGACCATGTTTGAGTTTAAGATTCAACAAACGCTCGACCAGATCTTTTGCAGTTCTGTTCCTGCCCAATAATTAAATCCACCCCACACGCCAGGCGGTGGTAATTATCAAAAATTGCGTTTCTGGACATACTAGTGATAGCTCAAAGTTAATCGGATGTCGTCACATCTTTGCTATTTTCAGAATTTCGTGAGTAGTGCCTTCCCCAAGTGTTGATTAACCTATTGTATTACAATGACATGCGATGCAGGGAACCTAGCGTAAGCGAGCACGCTATTAATGACACAACATATGGGAATATTTTTCATGGAAGCTGGAGCTACTTTGTTATGAATTCGTAGGGTGTAGTAAAAATATAGAGGTATGCACAGGAGCGGCAGGTTGATTGGCTGAGCTACCGGACACCGTGAGCCTCTTTATTCCTAAACCTTCTGCTTCGGCGCACTTCCATAATCCCATGTCAGGGGTGGAAGTTATTTCAAACTTCAACCCTGTCAACTGTGACCCTACAGACTTCACTCTTCTTGGGACTTTTATAGGAGCAAAGAATGTAAGAGTATTGCGATACCCGACTAGGTCCCTTTCCTCCCAACCATAGATGATAATTATTCCGGCCTTGGTCACAAGGCCGGAATATGATTTAACGGTTGTTTTGCCGGAATATGATTTAACGATGATGTAACGGTTGTTTGGCCGACCAATCAACCGTTTTTAGAAAAATTAATTCGTCAGGATATTTGGTGAGTCTTAGTTGCCTCTTTTCTTACATATCTCTTTCATAGTTTGAAAGTAATGTTGATTCCCCCATTGGCTTACGCTTAAATTACAATTTCATGATTTCCATACCCAGTCGACTTTACCTAAGATAAGATGATGTTATCTTCAAGAAAGGGGGAAAAGTGCGGGAGAATATCTTTACATTACTATGTGAAAAACTTGTCTTCAGCATTTCGTTTGTAACTGAACTCACCTTTCTGCTGATACTTAGTCGACTAAATCATCAGAAAGGCGTTTCTTCCTAGACGACTTGAATTGAAAAAAAAATCTGCAGAGTGTAAATAGCTATGATCCAGGCCAATCTACTTTTCTGGTTAAGTGGGTCAATTCTTCTTTCACCTTTCTCTCAAAAAGGAAACATAGTTCATTCTAGGAATTGGTTAAAGAGAGCCTCCTTCTTTAATTTTAGGGGGTTCCTTCATCAATCAAGAAAAGGGGCCGGCTCAAGAGATGGGGGTACCCAAAAGGTGTTCGAGTATATTTGCATAGCCTAGTAAACAAGAAAAAGAAGAAGAGAAAGACAATCGAGACAGTAAGAGGCTTTTGAAGTGCGAAATAACTGTTGTCAGTTATACTTACGAATACTCAAAAAAATGAAAAAAGTAGTAATGAATAGGAACTTATCCTTAGGCAAAACTTTCTGCGCCCCATTCGACCCTCACATATTCATTTTATGCGGCAATTTTTGCGACTTGCAGAAATCCCGCAAAACTACACTCTTGAATAAACCTTATAACAATAACAACGAATAAACAAACGAACAGACTAAAGTAAACAACTGAAAAGTCAACAAGACTATGTAAAACATTTTCAGAATTATTTGTTTTGGTAATGTGTTGTTTTACCATGAATTGTCCAGGTTAAGAAGCAAAAGTTTGCTGCAATGAGAAGATGCATTTTTAAAGAGGAGATGACAGGTGATGGTTACTTTCAGTACAGATCAGTCAGGTATCCACAATGGTACATCGGTTTCTCCAAAGGAGGGCGCCCAAGGCACGGAAGTAAGAGTGCCAAGCGAGCAATTTACCGCCATTTTACAATAAGAAACACACCAGACAGAAGACGACACACCAGGAGAGAGGCTAGAATTAAAAGAATCATTAAGTGGCTTAGAAAGAGGTTAAGGAAGGCTTAGATCCTCAACTCGCGAAGCCTGATAGGGAAATCTTTCTTTTGGCTGCTATACACTCTCTTGTGAAATAGTCAAGAGAATTTGGTGTCGTGTGACGCGAACACCCTCCGATGGACAAGTTTGTCTATTTTCATCGTCTGTTTGTTGGATAATGTATTGATACTTAAGGAGAAATTATATGTTAACTACTAAGATGTTACTATTATATGTTAACTACTTCTACGGCTTTGAGGGTACCAGTGATGCTCAACCTGGGGCCATAAAATGTATGCACATGCTGAAGACACAACCAAAACTGATGGACAACAACTCCGTTTAAAACGGTGGTCCAAGTTGAGTGGATCAACTTGGCATGTAGTCGAGTTCGGCTTTGTAAAGGGTAGTACTTTTAACAGGTTGGTAGCGTGACTCATGGTTTAAGATAAATTATGAGACTCTTTAAATACGGGTCTTAAGCTCTACTTAAAATACTTAGGTAGTTAGTGTGGCAATAATCATCACGAAAACGACTTACACCAGTTTTAGTTTAAGTTTCTTATAATCCCAAAAGAAGAATAAGGAATATTAGGAATAATTCCCTTAGGTATACTTTTTGCTTTATCTTTAATATTTTTTTTATTTTTAAAACTCATTATTACAAGGATCACGGAGTGGAAGTTCTAGACCAATGTTGACCCTGAAACATGCCCGTTTGGTTGATTGTAATGACCTTTTCATACCTTAGGAGTAATTTATGATATTAGGATCACCCAGGAAAGTTCTAGACCGATGTTCAAACAGAAACATGGAAGTTCACTCTCGCTAAAAGGTATCAAAATGCTTTTGAAGAATCCTGTGATCTTACTTTTTACCCAAATTTGTGATAAAAGGGGAACATATTGAAACTTTTCAAAAATATTTAATCTCTGTCGCGGTATTTATGTTTTCTTTCTGTAAGTGAAACAGCAATTTAAGTCAAGTTTAAAGATGCATTAATTTAATGAATTAATGCTCCTTCGAAGCTGTAATAAAAGATCAACGATTTAAGATACAGAAAAGCTAACTAAAATTCACAGGAAAATGGCGGAAATGTATCGATGGAGTTAAATCATACAAACAAAGCGCCCCGTTGGATGTTGCTAGTCCCATTTATTTTAGCGAGCCGGTTAGTCTTTAAGCAATATGCAATTATGTCAGAAAACTCGCAATTTCGGTATTGTCGACGGTATGAGAAAGGAAACGGAAGCTCTTCTCTGTAATTTGTCCTCTGAGTCTACAAAGAGTACCCAATAGAATATACTCAGCAAAATGGACCACAATTGCAAAATGGACCACAATAAACTGAGTGCCCTTACGCCAGAACGTGCGCGTGAACTTAATCAAAAACAGCGTTTCAGTCCTTGCTTCCCCGTTGGGGCCATTCCTAATTTAACATGCCGACGTAGTCCAAGGCTAAGCTGGTTTTTGATTAGAGAAAACTTATGAAGTCCTCCAGATTACATGTGCTTCTATTGTATTATGATGTTTGACACTTTTTTGGGCTTCATCCAAATCTCGTGAGTCACTTTTCATGTAAGCTGTGTCACGTGACGTCTCGACATGATAATGGTACTGGGCGTGCCCATTGCAGCCGAGCTTAGCGCACCGACTGCTCGTTTCTCTTCAAGTCTTTTAGTTGATGGGATAAGCTCCATCGTCTAAAGAGGCTACCCTTGGTTACAGTGCGCGCATTTCTTTTCTTTGGCAGCCGTGGTGGAGAGGAGAAACCGTAACACAATACCATGTAGTTCCTGTCTCTACTGCATTTCGAGAATACGTAGCTGTAAGATTATCGTGTAAATATAAAATCATTATTGTAAACATGACACTTCAATATCTTAGCAATTCGGTGAACTTAAGTGTCTGAGTGCTGTGAAGACTGAACGTGATTGAACCAATACTGATAGGCTCTCAGCACAAAGGACACAACAAGAAAATTAAAAAATCAGTTCTGTACGTAAATAGTTTGTAAATCGGTGGTCTCTTTGAGGAAAGTAAACTACCATTGCCTTAAACATCATTCACAATGCTGATATTGACCTTTTAGGTTTTCCTTGATTCCTAGCTAGCTACCAGCATTATTGTGATCAGAGCCCTTGAAATTACTCTCATAGGATTCTGTTTATTGTTCTTAGGGTGTTTGGGTTCTTAGAACATGGGGACTACAACACAGAAACACAGCCCAACTAAGAGTGATTGAGGAAAGTCAAACAAATTACAGTGATAGTTTTGTTCAAATGTTCACTGTTTAACTTTTCCTTATTGAGAACGTCTACAATATTCAATTATGCCTAGAAAATCTGACACAGATACTCGAGATCGAAATTCTTATCCGCTGCATCTGACAAATGTATATCCGGGTCAATGATTTCAATAACCTTGTTTCCGTTGCTTTCATATTCGCCGCCATATCACGTGTTTAAAATCTGGCGAGAGGGAAATATCATAACTCATCGAATACAATCATGGTGTTTGGCCGCTTATCAAGAGGATAAAAACAAAGACATCGACTGATTGCGCCTGTTTTCTCCTTAGGTCGAGTTCGATGACGATATCCTGTTCTAGAAGTACCCTAATAATCACTAAGAAAGGCTTTCAGTGTGTTGTGGTACTTGAGTGTGTCACGCTGTTTCTGCACTTTTTCTTGTTTTACAGTTTTGATCAGTTCTTTGACTTAATTCTCTTATTGCGCAACGAGACCGGAAATTATTTCTAGGTATAGCTTGACTACACCACAGGAACCAAGGTTAGATGTCAGGCTTTGTAAGGCCGCAAAATCAAGATCAGGCGTCTCATTAATTTTATTAGATAATGAATTTCCTATCTCTAGAACTATTTACAGGAGTTTTGTCAGAGAGTGGGAATTTATTAAGGTTAATGTGTGATTGCACGCAGTGTCAAAACAAAGCAACGACTGTTACGTTTGGTTTCCGGAGCTGATTTTGTCGTTGCGCCAGCGGATGTACACCCTTAAGATAAATAAATTAGTATTAAAGATTAGGAAATACTTGTAATATAATTTTTAGGGAAGCCATTGAAGTATGTGGGAAATGACACGCTTGTCAGAAATGAACATTGGCACGTTTGTATGTGGGAATGGACATAGCTGATTGAGTAGGATATGCTTTGTGGTTATCAGAATATCTGGAAAAAGTGAGAAACGGTAAGATTGAAGATAACAAAAACAAGTGGTTTTGTCGAAGTTTCCCCATCGTGGTTGCTTCTCTATTCTCTAAATTTAGCTGAGAAAAAAATATCCCCTGAAGTTAAATTAAAACCAATAAGAGAAAAAGGCAAAAGCGTCTAGCAATGACAGTTGTAAAAATATTTGCAAGATATTTTCCAAAAAGTGTTTTATTTTCATAGCTAAAAAATACAGCAAGGTCGGGTGTTCTTGACAAAAATTACAGAATCTAGGACGTTAATGTAGTTTTAAGATAGTGTTGTAGTCTAATATAATCAAAGTTCCTCAAAAATTGAAAAGTTTTGGCTAAATGGCCCGTCTTGTGGGTAGCAAGTAATGAACCATTTCCTGCTAATGGTTTATTACACAGAAAAATGACTCGCCAATTCTATTATTGTCTATCAGCCTTTTTTCACGCCGCGTAGGCAATACTAACGGGAAGCGTACTTATTGGTCATTGTGTTCAAACAAGACAGAAAACGTTGCTGACGTAATTTAAAATTACAATTATGAAATTAGAGAACATTAACAATTATTTTGAAAAATAATGTTTTGTCCAAATGCACAAATTGTGGGCTGATGTTACTTCTTTCTCGCTCTTTTGATACTCCAAAAAAGTTATTTTAGTTATTGACGCAAATGCTTATGACGTTTTAAGAACAGGTGCGGTGCTTTAGCAAGCAGACTTGCGCTAAGGATGAAAATAGAGCGAGATATTTTTCTCCCGCAGTTTAAATCAACAATTTCTTTTTTTTTCTATGCAGAAGATATGAACCTTGCAGTTATTCAGTATCATTGCTACCGTCTTAATATAAAAGAGGGGAGACAAATTTGAATATAATAATAACGTTTCGCTTTTTTAGTCAAAAAAAATTGATGATTCCTAGTAAACACAGCCAAACCGGAAAGGGAAAAAATCATGAGAAGATCCCTAAATCAACTCCTTGATGAACTCACGGAAAAACGTTTCTTTTAGGTGTGTATCAACACTGAGTGTAAACTGACTGCGCTTTTGTTTGAACATACAAATTACAATGCAAATTTTTTCAACTGAAAAATATAAAAATGTCTACAGGTCTATGCATTTGTAATTAAAACGAGGTACATCGTCTTAACGCTTAAAAAAACTCGCCAAATGTCTACGTTTATACAAACTTGCATAACAGATTTGTTCCTAGTTTGCTGTTCTGACTCGAATTAAACCGGAGGAAAACTCAGGGTAATTAGGCAAATCAATCATCATTTTTTGTCCTTCATTTGGCATTGTGTATCGTGAACTCATGTGTCATAAAATATGGATCGATGAAAAACCGCAAATCACGATAACTTTAAGTAGTATTTCGAACGAAGCGTTGTTGCGTAATGTATACACTTCCATTGGTCCTGTCTCAATTTTTTCCTTGTTAGAATTTGACAGCTGTGAGAGAAATCCTAACCTCAATTAATCGGTTTATAAGCCATGAATTTGTTTAGTCACAAGTCGTCTCAAAGGCAATCACTTTAGTTTCAAACCAATTTTAAGCGAAAGTTTATAAGACTTGTTTAGCTCTTTGCGACAAAGAAATAATTTGAATAGCGATAACAAACATTTACACTTGGGCAGAGTTCTTAATTGAAAGTGAGCTGAAGGACTGACTTCGCGGTGGGCAAATTAAAAATAAAATACTTGACTGCTCATCGTCTCATTAGGGCATTAGAAGGCGGGTTGAGTTTGCGAAACGAAAGCCTTAGCTTCTCAAAAATAAAATCCATCTTGCTAAAGCCGAGGTCATGATCTTTAGTCACATGTATTCAGTCGAGAACATCAGCCGCGCTGTGTTATCAGTGTTTACAGGAATCCGTCAGGATGTAGTAAGATCACGTCTCTGAAAAATTTTAAATGTAAAAGAGACACACTATAATTCTCTAAAATTGTATACTGAAAGGAAATAGCTAACTGAGAAACTGATCCGAGTCACCTAGAAATCCGTCAAAATGAGAGATATCCTTCATAAGCTTTCACATGCCGCGGGCCCTTTCCAAAGATCCTAACAACTTCCTAAATATTGATATTACTACTCGAAGTTTAGCATCACAGCCCGTCGATACTGCTATAAATGTAAAATCTGACCTTGCATGTGTAAATCGTGGATTCGAAATTTGCAGAATATTGCTTGAAGAAGAATAAAATCCGTCTCTCCGGAGCAAATGTTAGAGAAATGTACACTCCCGGGGATATCAACACCATAAACGGATCTACTAACTGTACAAGAATTTTTAATTTTTTTAACTCAAACAAAATTCATGTACATAGTTTTCAGGTGTAAAATTAGTGTCTATGTCTTTCTCATTAGGGAAGATTCCACAGATAGGCCCCAAAGAGAGCAACAGGAAAACGTTGTCCTCACGTGAAAACATCAGTTTGGCTTCTTAGCCGATGCCTATCACAAAAGAAGCTAAATGGCGTTAATTTTCCCTCGAGAGCTTCGCACAATTACGCGCCGACCACTATAACATAATTATTAACAGAGGGCCTCCTTTGAACAAATTTGATATTTACAAGGAAGGTATAAATAAGGCATATGAATTTGATAGACAAATTTCAATTTGAGGGATCGATACGAACCCGCTTAGCTAAATTATAAATTATTCTTGATCTGCACTAATCCAGTGCACTCAGACAGGATCCTTGGGTCTTCTCTGCCGATTCATAATGTCTTTTCTCTGTCTTTTATAGCAAACACACATCTCGGAACATCCTTTCAACGGTAAATAGCAAAGAAGGCACGGCAGAAATAAAGAACAAGCCGCTAAGCACCCCCATCTTCCAAAGCAAGATTTCCTTGGGGGACCACACGAGCACGGGTGCTCTGCCAAACTGCCTTCATCGAACGAATCCTTCGAACAATGATATAACACCGCTTTGACCCCGCACATACAACTTGCATAGTCTATTAACACGTCCACGTCCCGCTTACAGCAAAAAATTTTGACATCGTCATCTTCATATTGTTTGCTTTGGAGTACATTACTACTGCGACGAGTCGATCGTGATATTTGCGCCGATGCTGCCTGTAATGTGGGTCTCGGCTGTGAAGTTACAACCTGTGTCTGTGTATTTCGTATAGTTCCTCCCGTATGCCTCCTAACAAATGCATTGAACGTTCGGTTGGTGGTGGGAGTCGATAAACTTAACCGCATGTCACGATCCGCAACTAAGATCGGCTGACGAGGTGTAGTGCTCGTCTCTCGCTTCGTAGCCGCCGCGATAACACAATAGTCAGAGTGATATTCATCTTTACTCACGATCGTCTCAACCTTTCCAACAGTGTTGTGTGGTCGTATCCGATGTTTTGAGTCGTATTCCACACTCCTTTTCTCCCAAACAATAGTCTTTTCCAAAGGGTTCTCGTGTATAGTTATGGCTGTCTCTACCGCCATCAAACATTGATCGCCATTCAAAAAGACCTCATGCAAAACGCTGTGGATTAATTTCGCCGGAATCAGGCGTCTTCACGTTCACCTCGATCCAGCGAGTGAATTCCGAACGCCATCATAGGGCCACAGCGAACGGGAGAGCTACAGGCGACCTGAAAAATTAAACCCAAAGTACGTTGACCAAATGAAAACCCTTGGGACCTAAATGAACATGAATAAAGCTTTCATCAATTAACATTACGTTAATCAAAACACGGGTTTATATATAGTATCAGAATGTTAGAGGTTGAAGGGCATACAGCTAGAGTTGTAACATAAAAGTAATATCCATTTTTCCATACCTACACTAACGTTAGCAGTGATACAGCCAGCTAATTTAAAACGAGCAAGATAAATTGTTTCCCAATGTCCAGTGAAATCAAACAAAAGTTCCGTGTTGAGAATGCACTGCCAGCACGCGCAGGAAATGGAGGAATGTTTCCGGTAGTAGTCGGGATTCTTACTGTTCGCGACATTGGCCAGTAAACTTATCCATTCAGAAAGCAAATAAACCCAACACGCGTTACACTCCAGCGCGTTCGGGCGCCTAACCACTGATTGAGGACTCTACGCGAAGCAGCGCGCGATTTGCGAGCGCTTGAGAACTAACTTGAACAACAGCTCACGCGTGGAACTCTCGAATGAGTTGACTATTCAAATCACTGCCTTGAGCTACAAAAAAACCAAAATTTCACCGCCCACGAACTATTGTGATTTGTGACGTCATGTACCCGCCCCTTTTGAAGCAATTGCCTAGCAAGACATTTGCTTTTCAATCTTTCGTGTGTGCGTGGCAATCAAATGAAAAACAGGCGATCCGTCGATACACTATGTATCTTTGCATTTCTGCAAACTTCCTTCTGACACGGGGAAACGGTGCAAGGAAAATTTACGACGATCATTGGAAGGCCTTTTTATCTGTTTATTAAAAAGGCCATATTGCTTGCTGAAGACAGGCTCACTCAATGTGACTTCCGGTTTTATTCTGGTTAGAACAAAGGCAATAGACAAAGGGTTTGTTCGTATGTCTTTTCATTTACATAATGAACATTCTAAACATTTTAGAAAATTTACTCAGAATCCTAGGAGGTTTATCATTTCTTGCCTTCTGATCGTTACATCGAGCTTTGTTCCAGAATTCTTGATTTCTTGCGGCATTCCGTTAGAACGCTTGAAACCTCTCGTTTTCTTGGCAATTGTCAACTCTTTGAAAACAATTTTCTTGCAATAACTTTTCGGTCCAAGATTGACAGAGTGAGTAGTTTGTATGTTTGTTCTCGTTTCTTTGCTTTAAGCACGCATTAGGGAAACTACAGGATTGGATCCAGGCTATAAGACACTTGATATCGATGTAAGTGATGACCTAGAGTTTTGGGGGGTTCATGTCACCCCTTATAAATGAGACCGAAATTGGGTCAACCACCATGCCATCAAACCCATCACTTCCGATACCAGTTTCCGATCTAGTGTGATGCGATTTAAGATGACAAACAAATCTGCATAGAAACCATCAAGCACTCGAGAATGGTGGCTTAGAAAGAAATAGCAAAATCAAACACGTCAACTCTCGATCGATTTAATTATATACTAAAACGCATTTGGCGTATGCAGATGGCAAGAGACCGCCATTTCAGGTCCGGTAACCCAACACTTGAAAGTGGCGTATTGGCCTGGAGGGGTGTTTGAATATTGGATGCCGTTATAAATCTGCTTCAAGGCCAGCGTTGGCGGTGGCGCTGAAATCTCAAACATTTGGCTCTTTTTGATCAAAAGTCTTGAAAATGAATGTTCTCTTTAAAACTGCCCAGTTATTTACCGACGTTTTCAAACAACCAAACCAAAATGATATTACTCGACTTCATAAGAAAAAAAGAACAATATACACAATTGCTTCTCCATAAACAATATAGTTTCCGGTCGTCAGTTATCTTGCTTTCTTCCAGTAGGTTCGCTAAAATATCTGATTTCTAACAACTTAGTCATTGATGCTATTTCTTATTGGTGATAGGGAATTTCTTTAATACAGTAAACATTGCGAAGGTCGACGTATTTACGGTGCATACCGAAAAAGCCAGGCAAAGATTCAAACGTATCTTTCCTCTTGTTTTTTTGCACTTCAAAAGGTACCGAAAGTGTCAAATTGTAATTATGGTTGAAGAAGAGTGTTAGCGTCTTTGTTAGGGGTTTCCTGCTTTGTCCATAGCCCTATTTTCCATCAAAACAAACACCTGCTAAGGGCTTCGAGACGCTGAATTAGCGCCAGCAATCTTTGTGCCAATTTCCTGCGTCACCGTGGAACTCGACAGCGAAGGAATGCCTATGTGTGTACACAACCAAATTAAATACACCCCACCAAATGCGACAGAACTTGATTCAGCAAACATAGGGGGCTTTTATGAATCAACTGGGATGACAGTTTGGATGAGTGGTAATTTCAGAGCCGCAGGGAGTGTAAAAGAATAATTGTTTGTGCGTAATACAACCGCAACCGACGGTCAAGTGACATGCAAATTTCATTTGCGCTATTTTGGGAATAGTGCAAAGACAGGGTACCCAAGCAACCTGTCTGAAAGTAAAAGCTAACTTCTTTAGAAAAAAAGTATTTAATGTGTTTTTTGACAATTTTTGCTTGTAATAGTATATGAACATTCCTCTGTGCTAAAGAAAGTATCACAACGATTATGTTTAATGTTACTCCGCTCATATCACAGAAGTTGGGTCGTGCCAGAATATAAAAAGTGATTTGTATATGCTGTAAATACGGATATTTTTTAAAGCATTCTCAATTTTTTTGCCATGTTGTGTTTTGTTTAAGATATCCTAACCTCATTTTTTCCTCTTTCTATTTTTTTGTAATATTGCGTCCCAGACAGCGGAAACATGATTTAAAAGATAAAAAATTACACTGCGAAACCTCTGCTGACCCCTCTCCTGCCATAAGTTGGCTTTGGCTTAATCATTATTTTGATTTCTCAGATGACATTTTGAAATACATTGAGCTAAATGTGCTCATTCGGGAGACTAACTGATGATAAGTTCTCCGTGTTGTATAGCGTGAAATATATAACAGGTGCGTACGTGCTATATATCGATACACCTTGCTGATAGAAAAACAAATTGGATTAAACAAAAAAAGAAAAAAAAATCCTCAAGAAAGCAAAGCTAGAGCGTGAGATGGGGTTCAAAATCAAACTCTTTATGAAAGCAATGGAACAGTAGCAGTATGGGATCGTTTGGAAAAATATTTAGCCACCTATTTTCAAATGAAAAAATCATGTTTTGTACTCACAAACATCTACCAGACCGTGTAAAATTGCTTGAGAGAAGCTATTTTTAAGTACATCGCCTAAAGACGTTTTTTAATAACAGGCCTTGTCTGAGAAGAAAAGATTTAGGAGAGGCAAATTGGATTAAAATGAAATAGGGTCAAGAGTGACTTCCTCAGGATGAAATTGTGGTGCCAAAACAAGCTATCGGTACAATGTCATTAAACTGGAAAGGAAGGCGAAAGACAGGCAGCAAAAGGACATATGGGACAGGAGTTGGTTGTTTTTGCTTAGTGCTTGGAAATACTCTCAAAGTAGATGGTTCAGTACAGGATTAATCAATTAATGAATCAATTTTTCATTTAAAATTGGCGCGCCCGAGCGTGGGAAAAAATGAGAGAAAGAGAAAAATACAAAACAAAAAACACCAGACAAACAGGGATCAGAGAAAAAAAATCCGGGACAGGATGCTTTAATTAGTTGGTGTTAAGGATTTATTTTATCACGTTGCCTATTTGCGTTCTGCAGTTTTCGATCTTTCCGGATTTGCAGGATCTTAGAATTCTTTTATAGATCATAGTATATCGAATTTCCAGTGGCATGAAACATAACAAAGCCACTAATATCATCATACGTGTCTTTCAACGAAAGTCCTTTACTAATCGTTTTTCCCTTCAATAATTTGGTTTCTCTCAGCTTCGGAAACGTTTATATGATAGCAACTAAGGAGGAAACTCTTCATGCTGACCTCAATAAACCCTTAATAATCGTGGGAATGATTTTTGTATGCAACAGCAATCTCACGCATTCAGTTCTGTTTAATAATATCAACAATTTCAAAATCTTGAAGATCTTTAAATCAGTTCCGGTAATTTTTAAAGTATTTCCTTTATTTTAGATTGTCTGTAAGATTTTGTTACTAAGAGTTTTAGATGTTTTAGGGTCTTATCGTGGCTAAGAACATATGTCGAGTTACAGATTTCCCCCTGCAAGGATAGAATCATGTTAATGCTATAACCGCTAGTTTTGGTAATGATTCCCCCTTTTAGTGTTTTTATTTTGTCTCTAAAGAAGAAACACTTGGGTTAGAAAAAATGCAATAATGATAATAATAATAATAATAATAATAATAATAATAATAATAATGATGATGATGATGATGATAAGAAGTTTTTCTAAAGCTATGTGCTAAGTCTGTTTTTGTTTCAAAAGAGCTCTCTAATAGATTTTTTCGCGCAAGAATCGAACCAAGAGGATGAAGTCTCTACAGAGGCCTTTATGTCTCAGAAAGGGTTCAGTTATAAACAAATGTAAAATTACAACAAATACTTGGACAAAATGTCAAAGTTTCTTGTTTTCTAGGCACATTTTTCTGATGATTTTGTTTGGCTGATTCCCTGGATGAAAGGCTCAGCCATAACTTCGAAGCTAACCTCGAATAGTTAGCTAGTAACGACTCAAGGCACGACTGCAACTGCGCATGCCTGTCAGGGAACTGTATGCTCTGTAGATAATCTTCAGCCTTGCTGTTAACACCCTCTCATGACTAAAATGGCTATCGCTTTTCTTTTCTGACATTCCATCTTTGCGAATTTGGTGTTAGAAATTCCAAACTAGATAATGCACTCCTACACACTTATAAACCGTCTGCTTGCCAGTGGACTTCATGGGCCGAAAGTTAGGTTGAGCACATGCAACACAGATTGGGATACCTGATAATCGTAAGTTCTGATAAAGAATGTAAAAAAGTTAATTGTATTCAAATAAACTGAGAATAACAGGTTTGACCTTCTAGAGTGATTTAAAATGCAAACCTCCTCTGAGGACAATTTTATCTTTTGATCACCAGCAACATACTATAAAATGTCACTGTGAAGCTTGTCACTCCTATATATCAGTGAAATTCACTGAATTCATTTACTGAATTCAAAATCGGTGAAAGAAGGATCAAATTTAAAATAGCAACTCGACACAATAGGGACCTAAGAAGAAAAACTCGACTCCTGGACTTGGTAATGGTTAGACTAGACACCTGCCAGATTAATCAGATTAGGAAGGGAAAGTCAGGAACCTATTTTTTTTTCTGTCAGACAGGTAATTGATTGAAATTTGCTTGAAAATATATGCTCCACTTACTTTCTGATCTCCTTACCATTTCGCTATAGTCTTATTAAGAAAATTTATTCCGCAAACACATTTTCCGTATGACAATTACAGTTACAGTTCGTAATTAAAGTATTAACATTTGACACAAAAAATACACAATGGGAAAGTGAACCATTGTCGCTAATCCTGTTAAAAGAAGTGTGAGGTCCTGCCTGCCTCGGATTACGAAAAATAAAACGAAAACGAAGTTGTTCCGCTTGATAACAAAGGTTGAAAGGCTCAAGGGGGTGCAAAAG